CTCCTCCCTCATAAGTAGGAATTGGGAATTGGGCAACTACTTTGAAAACAGTTATGAAAATCTCTTAAAAACTACATATATACCTCATCAGTGACACATCAGTGCCACTGCTAAGTATTTACCCAAATGAAATGAAGATATATGTGCCAAAAAAGACTTGTATAAGAATGTTCATAGCAGGGACGCCTGGGTGGCTCAGTCGGTTGAGCAGCTGTCTTCGGCCCAGGTCATGATCCCAGGGTCCTGGGATCGAGTCCCACATCAGGCTCCTTGCTCAGCGGGGAACCTGCTTCTCCCTCTCTCTCCGTCTGCTTGTGCTCTCTCTGTCAAATAAATAAAATCTTTAAAAAAAAAAAAAAAAAAGAATGTTCATAGCAGCTTTAGTCAGAGCAGCCAAAAACTGGACACAGCCCAGGTGCCCATCAATAGAATTAGGAATAATTAAGCTCTAGCATGTTCTCATAATAGAGTGTTTCTTGGCAATGAAAGAGAACACACTACTGACATACAAAACCACACATAAGAATCTTAAAAACATTAAGCTGAGTGAAAGAACCCTTATATAAAAATTATGCTGTATGATTCCATTTATATGAAATCCTAGAGCAGACAAAATTAATCCATGGTAGAAAAAAATCAAAATGTCGTTTGCCTCTGTGGAGAGGGCCATAAGGGAAGAGGAGCATGAGGGAATTTTCTGGGGTGACGAAAGTGTTTTATACCTGAGTAGGAGTTTAATATATATAGTATGTATTTGCCTAAAGAGCAAAGGACATTTAAAATCTGTGCGCTTCATCAAATGTAAATTTTATAGCAAAGAAACTGAACAAACTTTGAACTCTAGTTAGAGATAAGAATGCTGTATTTGGGGACAGCTTAGTGACGTCTGCAATTTACTTGGAAATGCAGCAAAAAAGTAAGATGGATCAGCAGATGGACAGAGGGATGGGTAGATATGTGTTAAAGAAAACATAAGGAAAACGTGAATGATCGAGTGGTGGCTATACTGGTGTTCACTGTAAAAAAATTCTTTTAACATATTTGAACATTTTCGTAATTTTCTTTACTTCTGCCACAAATTCAGATTTATCAGAATAGTGTTCCTTTGTACCAGACTTACAAAACTGTGTAGCCACTGTTTGCTAAGATATGACTTGAATCCCTCCTCCTCCACAATAGAGAGTCTAAATAGCTATCCACCCTGCGACATTGATGGAAGCACATTACCAGAAATTTCAGTGTTAGAGCCACTAGCCTTGGCTCTCACACATTGGAATTGCTTCAGATAGGAGTCAGTGGCAGGCTGGGCAGAGGCTGAAGACCAGATGTATAAAGTGAAAAGCGCTCTGTTACCTCTTCATAACATTTTGGGATGGGGAAAATGAGGGAGGATTGAGAGAGTAAAACCATGTGTAACGAAATCCACCGTTATTTTATACTAAGTCAAAAACTTTAAATGGGGTGTTTGTAATTATAAAATAATGAGATGAAATCAAAGGATAATAAAACAATCGAATCACACTGTTCTGATTTCAGTACTCCTCAGATCTTTTCCAGGGCACTCCACCCAAAGTGGTAATAAATTGACTGCTCATAGAAATCACTACTTCTTTGAAGTTTACTAATACAAGGCAAACTAACAAGTTAAACCCACTCTTGATTCTGGCTCCAGTAGATTATTTTAGTGCACATGTGTGTGAACAGTCTTTTCCTAGTTTATATTGTTTTGTGATCCTATGCTCTTGGCTTTGCGTTTGTGAGTAATTGGGTGAAAGAATTTGCAGCATTCACAAAATATCACAGCAGTCCGTTTTCAAAGTTTAAATTTTCATCAGCTCATTAAAATAGTAGATACTAAGTAATGCAAGTTTACGTAAATGTACATTTGTGACTTACAAATAATTGAAAATTAAAAGCTAAGCTATATAAAACTAAAAATTTTTTTTTAACATTTTATTTATTTATTTGAGAGAGAATGAGATAGAGCATGAGAGGGGGGAGGGTCAGAGGGAGAAGCGGACTCCCTGCCGAGCAGGGAGCCCGATGCGGGACTCGATCCCGGGACTCCAGGATCATGACCTGAGCCGAAGGCAGTCGTTTAACCAACTGAGCCACCCAGGTGCCCTAAAACTAAAATTTTAAAAAGCAAAGACAGTGCTCTTGAGTGTCCCTGAACAGAAAACTTCTAACTGGGTTTCTCCTTCTGTCTACTTTTGAGTAATTTTCTCTTCCCAATACCTGGAGGATGTGAAGGAGGTAATGGCAGAAAATGGGATAGAGAAATGTGTTTCTCTTTCTCAGATTGTATGCCTGAGGTCACTGCCTAGTCTCCCCAACCCAGCCTTCTCTTTGAGTTTACCACCACCACCCCACCATGTCGTTTGGTGTGGCATATGCAGGAGTCCTTGCCTAGAACTGTAAAACTAAGAGGGACCTTAAAGATCATGTAAGTCTAACTTGATCATTTTAGGGAGAAAAAAACTGAGGTGCAGATTGAAGTACAATGTATTTTTATTGTAGAATGAAGAAATAGTAAACCATTCCTAAACAGTAGTAAAATAATACACTCAGAAACTCTCACTCCTCCACTTGTTAATTCTTCCAGCACATTAAATTCCTTACTTTTTTTGTTGGGCATTAATTACGCACTGAATATGGTATTGAATAAGACATTCTATTTAGAGAATCAGATAATACAATACAGAATGCTAATTATGCAATAACATGAGTAAACAAAGTGTTGGAACATTTAGAAGCTCCTTTCTAGTTTGGGTGGAGGGTGGTCAAAGAAGGCCTCCTAACTGGGGTGAATTTTGATCTGAGCTCTGAAGAACAATTGCCAAGCATAGAAAAGCAGCATGTAAAAAGCTTCTGAGGCAAGAGAACAAAGGCACAAGAGTTTTCTGCTTAGGCCCTTATAGTTCTGTATTTTTCTCCCTTTTTCCATGTAGCAGGGGCTCCTTGCATATATAGGTATTCACATGTTTCTGTGGGCCATTCATTGCATTTAGTACATTTTGCCTTAGGTAGTTGTTATGCTTATGTTTATAATCTGACTCCTGTACTAGAATCCAAGCCCCCTTGAGAAGAATGGCGCTATCATTGTTACCCTGTATCACCCAGAACTCAGTGCTTAGTACGCAGGTGACCAGTAGATGTTTAACTCCTTGCACACATGTTTAATCTCTTAACATGGCCTTCGGGTGCTTCTCTGTTCAGACGCTACAATCTTCCTATTTCCTTAAGTTCTTTCTGGAATCTGCAAAATCTCTGTGACCTCTCCATAGCTCTTACTGGTTTATTAGCTGCCTCTGTGGCTGGTTGTAGAGCCCTAATCTGGAAGTGTCACTAATCTAGTTTGCAGAAGTTTATATTAATTAGGTATATAACGTGTGTGCTTTCAAGAAACTGATGTCAAAAACTGATTCGGGCTATGTAAGTAAGTGACTGTATAATTTGATTTAAATTAACCTGCCTGGTTCTAGCAACGTCAGGTTCCTCCCCTCCCCTCCATCACCCCCCTCCAAATAAACTTGATAAGAGGGGAGGGGAGAGGATGCAGAGGGTAATGTTAATATTTTAGGCCTTATGCCAGTCATTGGTAGTATAGCCAAAATAGAATAGTGACTCAGGCTATAAAAATCATTGTAGATACCTTTATTTACTCATTCTTTATCAAATACTTTGAAAATGATGGTTCTGTCTGTATCTTATAAAACTTTAGACTATTATTCTATGATTGTCTGCCAAGTCCTAGGGAAATTATAGAAATGGACATAAGAAGCTGAAATACTAGGAAGCAGGAATAAGTGCTCCAAATGCAATGGAAATTTCAGGTATTTTATGAACTCAATAGAAGAGATAATCTGGAGCTTAATGTAAGGGACAAATAATGCTGGAAATGAGTCTCTACCAAGTGCAGATTTGGACAGGATCTTGATAAGTTAGTGCAGTGTTGTCTCTGTTCTTTTCATGCCTTTTCTCATAAAGAGGTACAAAGGAAGCAGGTCATATTAGGGGCATGGAATATGTGAAAGGTTTGGAACAGCCCCTGGAAAATGTGGTAAGATTGGCATAGTGGCAGATGCCCAGAGTGTCGTGTATGTATAACATACCCAGTTATACATTTGTAATGCACTATTCCAGTGCCCGTGTCCATATGCACGTGTTTCCTTCTGTAAATAAAATGGGGATAGCAATAATATTGTATCTACCTCATAGAACGGTTGTGTAAGCCACTGGTAAACGTGACTAATTAGATTGGCAGTTTAGATAGATGAACGCTAATTTGTGAGTTCTAGCTGTTGCCTAGTTTATGTCAGTGTTGTTTGCTATTAAGAATTTTTTTGGAGCCAACAAATTTTGCAGACTAGCTTTTATAGAGGGATTGCATGTTGTAAAGTGAAATGAGCAAAGGTGGCTCCACAGCCACAGAGGATTTGCTTTGAATGGTTAAGAAAGAGACCACATGCCAAATGTCAGCTGAAAAATAAATGTATCAAATATTGGCAAACTTTTCTTTTAGTCTCATTTGAAAAAATGAAAAGAGTTTGTGAATTTGGAGATGTTAATCATTTTCAGAGTAGCAATGAAACAATTATTCTACCAAATAATGCAGGGGATTTTGCCCACAACCCACAGTAAGAAGCATCTATTACATGACAATGTACTACATGTGTAGGAGCATACAGACACCTAAACAGAAACACAAGCTTCATGAAACACTTCGCCCACCCTTACTAGCTTCCCCAGTAATTGTTACTCTAGTGTGGTTCCTTTTTATTGTTGTTTTTACTGCTCTTCGTAATCCATTAAACTGATTGCATAATTCACTGATGAACTACAACCCACACTTTGAAAAACATTACTTATTAAAAGCTTTTTCTGACATCAGTTTCAATTTTGAAATATAGTTTCTACCTAGTATAAATTTTCAAAATCATGTTTATATTTCTAACTTTGGCCACTGACTGAAATTGTTTTTCTCTTCTATTAATCAGGTATCAACATGGTTTTTTACCACCTTTTCTGTCTCAGGACTGAAGGACAAAATCCACCATGTGGACAGCCTCCACCAGCTATTCTCTGCCATATCACCAGAACAGATTGACTTTCCTCCTTTTGTCCTTGAATATGATGCCAGGGTAAGAAGTACCAGGAGTTCTCCCTCACCTGGTGCAGTATCTTAGCTGTTCTATAGGACACTGCTGATGAGCACAACATGCTTTGATTAGAAGATGATATGAATGCCATTAGCAGGTTTTAGTAAACTTGATAGTATCATTTAACATTCTTTTCCTACAGTAACTAGGAAAACACTGTCCTAAGAGAGGACTTTTTTCCCCAGTAAACTTTTCAATGGGAGATTTTCCTGCTGTGGGTTTGAAGCCAATCCTTGCTTATATTGTCCATTTTCTACCACCTCTGCCTGATTTTCTTAAGATTGATTAACTTTTTATCTACATAAGTAGAGTCAGAAGAATCTGTTGGTGTGTGACATTTTCAGCATTAATTCAAAACGGTGGGCTATCTTAGTAGCCTTTACCCTACTAAAGGTTTCATTTTGCTAAAAGTTTATATAATGTTTTTAAGAGTATCAACCAGTAGTATTAGTATTATTACTTATAGATGCATTTATGAATATATTATTTAAACACTGATAAAGGGCTACTCTTGAATTTCATTAAAGCTCCATACCCCATTTGTTTATTCATGCTACCACTTTAGTAGTTAAAAAAAAAAAAAGTAACATGCATGGCCAAAAGATCATCAGTCTCCTTATCTAACTGTTGCTGATTACGTATCTTTATGCATGAATCAGGGAATATATTTGAAGGTTATATTCAGTTTGAAATGAATTGTTGTTCCCTAATATTGTACAGCATGTATACACTAAAATAAATATTCTGCAAGACATTTTCTCTGTACCATTTCTTTAACTTCAGCAATAATTTCTGTCTTCCTTTATGTGAAGAGCAAAGTATTTAATGTGTTCTAATGGCTAATAAAATTTCATGCTTGGCTTTAGAACAGAGAGGATTTGTAATTGAAGAAGCTGAATCATAGATACAAAGATTATTGAATATATTGGGGGGGGGGGAAGAACATCAATTTGTGTTTATTGTAGATTGCCAGAGTAGAAAATGGCCTTACTGTTACTCTTTTGAAGTATACATCTCTCTTCTTAATAATTAAAAAAAATGGATAGCAGGAAATGAAAGACACTAAAAGACAGTTTGTGATCAAAAATTTCGAATGACAATTCAAAGCTAGTGTCTGGATTTATAATTTATTTTCTAGGGTATAATATACAAGTTGGATTGCATTGGTTAGAAAACCCAAATGGCTGGTTTTTAAGCCAGCACATTTTCTATATACTTAAGGGCCTATAAAGCTGACTTTCATTAAGTATCAACACCATACTCAAACTTTTTGTTTGTGTGCTTGTTTTAGGTTTTTCTTATATTTTTCTTATATTTTGTATGTCAAGTGATGTGATTAATCAAAATTTAATAAAATAACCTATAATCTCGAGGCGCCTGGGTGGCTCAGTCAGTTAGGCCTCCGCCTTGGGCTTAGTTCGTGATCTCAGGGTCCTAGAATCCAGCCATGTGTTGGCCTCTCTGCTCAGGGAAGAGCCGACTTCCCCCTCCCCCTTTGCCCGCCCCCCACCCGTGCACTCACGTGCACTCTCTCAAATAAAATAAAATCTCTAAAAAAAAAAAAAACCTATACATCTAACTCTTGGGTGATTGGATCATCTCTCTGTGCCTGTACTAGAGCTTTCTAAAATTGAGATATTAGGCCGTCTGTATTTAAAGGCCAAAGAGAGAAATAAAAACAGGGAAGAAACAAAGAAGGTGTCAGGAGATGATATGGGAAGGGCCGGCAGAGGGCAGGTCACTGGATACTTAGAGCCTTACGTGTTACTTGCAGCACTTTGGCTTTGTGGTCTATGGGGAATATTCTGCAAGGGAGACCTACCATTATATTTCTGTTTAGAATGATGGCAAAAGAAACAGCGTAGAAAGTGACTAGAGAGGTTAACAGTCTAGGCAGTAGACAAGTAAGAGGCTATCAGAAAGTCAGAGGAGAAATGAGACTAGAGCTAGGGCAGCAGTAGTGATAATGGCAATGACTTGAAGATCTTAGATTTAGAAGTAGACATTTTAGGAAAAAAAATTCACAGCATTTGGTGACTGAGTAAACCATTAGGGGAGATGAAAGAGGAAGGATGCCTAAGGTGACTACCAAAGTTTCTGCTGTAGGAGACTTGGTGGATGGTATTGCTGCCACCCCAGAGAGGCAGTTTGGAGGATGAGCATTGGGGGTAAGGGTGTTGAGCAGGTGGGAGAGAAGAGACAGGTGGTATGTTCAGTTTGTGACACACTAGGATTGAGGTGGAGATCCTGTAGGTGGTTGGATATTATCTTGTAAGGAAATATTTGCCTTTGCCAGGAAAATGAAAAATATAATCAGAGAAAAGGAAATGAGTATGGAATTGGTTAATTTATTGTCCTGTTCAGTTGTGCCTTGCACATAGTAGGTATGACAGGGCATGATGTGTCATTGTTGGCTGGTTTCAGTGGGCTATTTTCTGGGTCTTGTGTGACTTAGAACAGTGACATAAGTTTTATGGGAATGAAAGGAACCTTTGAAGGTAATTAGAAGATAATTTTTATCTCTCTATATCAAAATGTTATGGAGACCATTTCAGAAAGGCTGCTAGTGAGCATTCTTACAGATACAAAATATAGTCAAAGAAGAGAGTATACAAATTTGCCTGGCAACAGTTCTTCAAAGTTCTAAGATTGTTTCCAGAAATAGAGAAAATAGATTGCTTAGCAGTCTTTTGCACAGTATGAGACTAATATAAAAAGCTTTGTTTCATAGCATTAAGAATTAGATTTGCCCTTCATACTTTATCACAATTTAATGTAGATTAGGAAAACCTAAAAAAATATGGTAGTAGAATGGAATACACGATACATATACAATATCATTGACTATAAATCCTTGTCTTTCACATTCCTATTTAAATTGGTTTTATTACTTAATGTTCTTGTCTTTTTTTTCTTCCACAGGAAAATGGGCCTTACTATACATCTTATCCCGCATCACCAGATTTGTGACCTGCCATCTTTTAGTTCTACTGGTTTCCAAGGACGTCACTTTCTCCACGAATCGCTACCTGTTGAAGTGAAATTCATTTTTGCTGTTCAGATCCAGAGAGCCTTTTGTCCCCACCTCTCTGGTATTTTTTTATTGACTGTATATTTTCTGGCACATAAGCAATCTGACAATAGTAGGCCATTCTGAACTGCACACTTATTTTAAATTTGTATATTTGTATCAAATGAAAATGTTCATTTTTAGAGGGTTGTTAATAGAAATTGGGGAGCAACTTTTGAGTATCTTCAGTTTCCTGAAAGGACACTGGATTTTCCATTAGACAAGCCGCCAATATTGTTCACGCCATCTCTTTAACATTGTATGCTTCCTTTGTGTACTTAAGTGTTTCTCAAAATATATAGAACCAATGTATGCTGACCATAAGCATTGTTTGCTTCAGATCCTGGCATTACATTTTATACAGATAATTGGGTTATGGTAAAATAGAATTGTCTGGGATCAAGGATGTGGAGATGTATCTGATCAAAACATTGAAATCATTAGCAAAATATAGGTCTTAGAATCTTACTGCACCAGTGAAGATTAAGATTTTGGATTATATGATTTGTTGAGATTGTGACTGTTCTGGTGTCAACAGTGGGGGAAAACAAGAAGACTGTATCTTCCGCCTTTTTCCTGTAATCATGGGTGATTTGGTGTCCTTTTTCTAAAAGGCTGCACTCATTAGTACTCTTATGCGAAAGGCATCTCCTAGACTCCATCAGTGAGCCTTTAGAGAGGGTGCTGTCTCCCCAGAGTTGTGATTTTGTTGGGCTTTATAGCTACTCCCTCTAAGGACATTTCCTCACAGTGTCTCTTGAGTTGCCTATGTCAAAATGGAGGAAGTGTGTTGCAGTGAACAGAATTCCAGACTGCTGTTGCCACTCAGGCTCTATTTGTGCCTTAGCTCGCTTATGAATAAAAATTAGGATTATGATACCGACCTCACAGAGGTATCATAAGGCTAACATTTAGAAAGGGCTTGTGATGTCTTTGGATGCAAAATGCTAGGGGAGTTTGTGTAGGTGTCGCTTCAGTTAGTTTTTAAATGATAATAAATGTACTTGGGGGTACTACCAAGCACTCCTCTTGTCCTTGGCACCTTTTGAGTGACTTTTCTTGTCTTATGACAAGAGCTGTTACTAAAAAATCCCAGGGCGCCTGGGTGGCTCAGTTGGTTAAGTGACTGCCTTCGGCTCAGGTCATGATCCTGGAGTCCCAGGATCGAGTCCCACATCAGGCTCCCTGCTCAGCAGGGAGTCTGCTTCTCCCTCTGACCCTCCTCCCTCTCATGTTCTCTGTCTCTCATTCTCTCTCTCGCAAATAAATAAAATCTTAAAAAATAAAAATAAAAATAAAAATAAAAAATCCCAACCCTGAAGACCGACCTCCTTCCTACTTTGTCCAGAATTTCTTCTAGCCTCCTCCTCCCCCAGTGCTACACTTTAACAAGAGGCATCTGTTAGCCATTTTAAACATTTCTTCTTGAATTGAGGTCAAACCAGTATCATTTCCATCTGGGTGTCTTCATATTCCTTTTGATTCCTACACCCACCCGCCCCCCCATCTCCCTCACTCCATCATGTACATTGGCAGTTCAGAGAAGAAAAAGTAGAACTCTTCTTTGTTCAGGATCAGTGCTTCCAAAGGTCCTATTCCTCTGTGCCCAAATTAATTCTTCAGTGGATAAAGGAAACATAATTCTTTTATGACAGAGAAATCCCCCTATAGTTGTATTAGCCCCATCCTCTATTTTCCCCTACAAACAAGAAGGGGCTTTACATTCCTTCAGTAAGTGCTCATATCTTTTTGCATGAATTGGACACATTTGCTTTGTGTCAGAAATCAAAGCCACTTGCTCCTTGTATATGCTTATTGGGTAAGGGTTTCCTGTTACGTTCCCTAGGTCATCAGATCCAGACAGCCAGTCAGATGTCTACAGTAAGCTTCCTCTCAAACAGCACTACTTTCAATCCCTTAAGCCTTGAACTTTAAAAATCTGAAAAATTAGCTTCATCTTCTCCAGTCTATTGTTAGATCATATTTGAGGTATCTTTGTACTAGGAGCAGTTATAAAAATATGTCAGCTTTTCTTTTTTGAAAGTGGACTTGGCTATCTGAAATTGGCATTTGGCCTGAATCATTTCCTCTATAGATAATAGAGGCTGCAAGCTACTTTGCCATTTGAAAGAAAGAAAATTGATATGTAGAATTTCTTATAGGCAGTAATTTTGAAAGAATGTCCCTTCATACGAGTATATTAATGTCTAGTAACACAAGCAGGATTCTATATATAGTGAGATTCTCATTCAGTTGATGTCCTAGGGTATTAAGGTAGTATGGAACTGTAAACATACCAACCGCATTTCATAATTTAATGGTGACTAAAAATAAGGGCTGCACTTCTCAGTGAAACTAAATTTGGTATGGGACCAAGTTCATGCTTTTATAGCTGTCTTAAGTGTTAGGTAATGAAGTTGTTTCAATGTATTAAATCCTACCGAAGGAACATAGTGACCTTGATAGTGAAATGATTATGTAGTGTTCTATATAGCTGCCTTTGTCAAAGATTGGGTTGCCTGGAGAACACATGCCATTCTCAGAGACACATTAGAGGATAAAAGGATGACTGGGTGGAGATGAGTACTAGCATCTGATGTTAATTCAAAGCACCACCAAATCCTTAATTAAATTAAACTTTGGTCATGCCAATGCTAGTTGAGGAAGAAAACGTACAAAATATTAAGTGAATTCATTAATTCATGCAAGGCATAATAGGATTTTCTTAAACAAGTACATTTCTTCAGCATATATTTGGTTCTTCTTAACTCATCTATATCCAAGTTTCTTGATAGCGAAAAAAACCTCTTGGAAAAAACTGTCTTTATTAGACTCTCTTAAGGCTTAGAGACCAAGTGGTTTAAGATTTTCTTTTCTTTAATATACATCTTATTTCATTGGCTAGTACTCTAATATGTTTATTTTTTCAAAGAGATTCAATTAGTTTGAGACTAAAGAACAGGATTTTTAGAGTATTTTTGATAGGAAAAATGGGTATAGATTTTTTATCAAATATCTGAAATCTGGAAGGATTAAAATATCTTGCATTTCTAGAGAGGGTTACGTATAACCACTCTAGTAGAAAAACATGGCTTGCCTATTTCTTCCTGTTTTCTGTTTGCTGAGAGATCATTCAGTGAATTCAAACTGTGGGTAATGGTTTCTTTTCTTTGCAATTGCTAATAGGAAAGTGATAAAATGTAGTTTCAGTATAAGCTAAAAATCACTCTTTGTGTTTCCCTTGATTGTCTGTGTATGTATATATAGAGTTTATATTGATTAATATATGACTAGAAATTATTAGAATTTGAAGCACTAGAAAGAGAAGGATTATTATGGTTCTAAGAACAGTGGATTGTTTGTATTAAGGACCCAAAAGACTGCAAAATAGCATGTACACCCCTAAAATTGGAGTTGACCAGTGAGTTTCAAATTGTTGTTCTCTTACTAAGTTAAAATCATCAGTCAACATGCAGTAGAGTGTTTTACCTATACTGGCACTTATAATATACTTCATGGTATATGATTGACTCTTGGGAGGACTCTGCCTTTGACTAGGTCATATCAGAAGCGCAGAGAATATAAGAATTGCCTAGTAGGCCAAACCATATATACATATGCGTATATGTGTGTATACACGCGCATGGTAATCTACTTTGCATTACATTCTTCGAATGTGGTTTCTGTGGCCCATATGTAGAGAACATAGAGCAATAAATAACATAGTTCAAGCTTGGATTCTATCAAAAAAGCCCTTAAGCAGATGACATCAAGGTCATTTTATATATTAGTGGCTCTCTTGGATACTAGTTGTTAATTTTGTTTTCTTTGCTTCCAGGAATGGTATCTAATCTTTTTAAGTGAAGTAAGTAATCTTTTTAAGTAGATGTGTAGGGCCACTGAGTTGAAGGAGAAAAACATAGATATTCTCTAGGTGAATTACACTAACAAAATCGTAACTACTGAATGTGACCTAATATTTTTGTTGAACGGTTAAAATTAATACATTTTGTATACACAGTCATACTTTTTTTTTTTTTTTTTTGCAATGTGTTTTGCTAGTGTAAGCACACAGCCATTATAAACTGAGCCAGCACTTTGTCAGACCAGTTCTGGTGGGCCGAAATATTTAATTATGAGCTTAACATACATAAATGATTTTAATTGCTATTGGGCACAGGAGACTTAAAAATGTTTTATTGACATCTTAAAATTTGTTTATTCAGAATTCACAATGCTTTTATGAATACTTTGCATTGAAAAATTTATTTTAGTCTTTCTGAATTAGAAGTTAAATTCCATTTTTTTTTTTAAAAGATTTTATTCATTTATTTGATAGAGACACAGCGAGAGAGGGAACACAAGCAGGCGGAGTGGGAGAGGGAGAAGCAGGCTTCCCGCTGAGCAGGGAGCCCGATGCGGGGCTCGATCCCATAACCCTGGGATCATGACCTGAGCCGAAGGCAGACGCTCAACGACTGAGCCACCCAGGCGCCCCAAGTTAAATTCCCTTTAAAGAGGATCCCACTCTGTGCAAATAGAGCCTGTGAAGAACCAGTAGTAAAATGGTAATGTTTGTATTGAACCCCAGGGTAGGACAGTCTGTTCTGGTCATTTACACCTGGCTTTTCTCTAATCACTGAGATTAACCTCTGTAGTGGTACAAAATGCAGTAAATTTTACTGTCAGCCTTCTCTATGGGGACCTAGACTAGTGCTTCTCAAACTTTAATGTGCATATATTAAATCAGCTGGCAGTATTATTAAAATGCAGATTCTGATATAGTAGCTCTGGGGTGGAGCCTGGGATTCTAGTTTCTAACAAGTTTGGGTGACCATCAATACTCCTGATACCCCAAGACCACAAGTGAAAGAGCCCAGACTATATTCAGGTTCCATATTTTCCCTGTTTCAAGGAGAGGAGACACAACTGTCGTAATCTCTTCGGTGGGCCAGTAACTCATATTCATTATCTCACTTAATCCTACAAATCCTATGAGGTAGATGGTGATAGAGAGGTTAAGTGACCTGCTGACTCCCACGCACACAAGCAGTACAGTATTGAGCCATGTTTCTCAAACTTGAATAATGCACATCCCCTTTTAATAAGGAAAGGCTCTCTGAGTTCCTCCGTTTTTACTACATTATTTATTGTTACCTAAGTATATATAAACATAAAGCTACATGTAATGCCTTATGCTTATAGCTCTAGCACAAGTATAAAACCCAAAGAAGTTTATAGATAGATACGAGCAAAACTATAAAACCAATAAAATTTAAAATAACATTAGTAAAATATAATGGATGATGACGTTTCACCAAAACAAAACTGTCACTTGTAACATGATAACGGTACGGAGTGCTGTCTCGCAGGGTCTTTTGAGTTCCGCATACACCTGGCAGGTGCTGTGTGTGCCACATGGTGACTCAGGTCTCCCACTGCATTTCTCAGTTCAGACTCTTTACTGTCATTTGTTTAGTACACAGTGATGTTATTTGGTCTTCATCTATCTTGACTGAATCATTTCCCTATGAAGTCAGTCTCTCTTCTCCATAAGCCTCCCACAACTAAAGCAGAACCCGGCTCTACCGTGCAAGTAAACACAGTTGCAAACCTAGGCACTGAAATGTCCTGGAAAAATTTGGTTTTAAGGAAGTTATATTAATAGATTAATAATCAGAACATGAATATTAACTTTTTAAATTTTTCATCAGCATGAAAAATGTCTAATTCTCATAGAAAACTGATGGATCCCCCACCAAACACACTCACACCCTCAGATTCCCTCCACCTTCCCACACACACAAGACTTTTTCATGAGGGTTAGTTAGCTGTGGCTGTAGCTGTGCTTTGGCTCCTGACGCACCTGGGTTCAGACCTTGGGCATGTTTCTCAGCCTTTTCTGAACCTCAGGGTTTTCATGTGTTAAACAGGGATAATCTCATTGAATACAAGAGAAATAAATGCAATAATACTCATAAAGCATGCATAGTAAGTGTTTATAAAAGGCAGCTACCATTGCTTTGATTAGAAATACTACTAACATTTAAGGACTTACTATGTGCCTTCAACTTTGCTATAAGCACTTTATATATGTTATCTTATACATTGAGTGATAGAATTAGGATTCAAATCCAAGTCTGACTTCAAAGCTTACACTCTTACAAAAATAATATAAAACATCAATACAAGTTGCTTATTTAAAAAGTTATTTAATATTAAATTGTATTTTCTCAAAAATTCTTATTATAAAATTAATGATGTTTCTCTTTAGGGGAAATGGCTAAGGTTTTTTTAAACAGTTGTGTAATATGCTAAGAAATCAACACAAGATCAAGATAAATACAATCTTTTTTTTAAAGGCTGTCATGCTAGGTTGTGGTCCAGTAAAAGGATATTAGGATCATTAGGCTCAACTTGTGCATTACTGTTCTCTTGCACATTTATCATCTGTAACTAATGATAACATGAGATTCTTCCTGAATCTCAAATTTAATAGCTTTTTTGCAGAAAAAAGATTTTCCCCCACCACTATTATATTCCTTGATAGTTCTGAGAAATAGTCTACAAGCATCTTAATTTTCACCTGTGAAACCTATTTTTAAAAATTGTTTTGTCCTTTAAAATAGTTTTGAGTAACTCTTTTCTCTATTCTTAGTTTTCTAAAATAAGTTTTGGAGTTCTGAAAAATGAACAAGCATACTTGTAAGCTGGGTTTTTTTTACTCTTTTGCGTTTTTTTCTAATTGGGTGCTGGGAGAAAATACCAGGAGAGAGCTATAAGAGGAACTCATTTATTAACAGAGATAGTATGTATCAAATTCAAATTATTTCCCTACTTACTAAAACATATACTTGCACAAATTATTAAGGTAGTGAAGATACATGAAATGTGAGGCTGTCACGGAATTTTGTAAGGTCTGTTTTTAAAAATATTTTTCTTTTATGACATCCTTTATAGAAGCATAATAATAATCTGTGTTATGGAAATTATTGTGTTTTTGATCCAGCATCTTTAACCCATCTGTAAGATCTTTAAGTTCAGTGAATGCATGGCTCTCCATACATGTGTGTTATCAAGATAGAAGATATGCCCTGTGTGATACCTCATTGCCTCATCCTGTAGCACAGCATAAGAAAATTGTCCTGGCTTCACATTACAGATAAGACCTAGTTCTACCTGATTTTCTCCATCTTAGCAGTCTGTTACTTGATTTGGGTTGTGAGCCCTACTTCTCTTACTAAATACAAATAAGACCAGTTTATTATAACTTTGGATGGAATGGCCTCCCATCTTTTGCTTCTTTAAAATCCAAATTTATTTTTTATAAGGAGGTATCCTAAGCATTTGACTATTTCATCATGTCTTCTAGTTTAGATACATCTGACATTTTTATTTTGAAATGCTTATTGTAAATTCTAACATTGATTTTTCTTTAAACATTGTTTGTAGGTGGGTTGTTATCTAGAATTTCATTTCTAATAGTAAAGTAGGTGTTAAAACTTATTATAAGGGGGGATATTGGTTCCCAAACAGATGAAAAAGTAGACGCCCAGGCAGGTGAAGGCAGGTTGGACTCCTAGCCAGATCGTGTAGATTGTAGTTAGTTTCAGGATGACCTTTTGCCATCTATAGCTAGAGCTCTTTGGTTTAACTGTGTTTGCACAGCTGCTTGGCGTTGACATTCCTTGTGTCCTCTAAAGAAGTTTTCTTTTTTTAATTTGTTATTTATCTTTTTTTTTTTTTATCTAAGTTGCATTTGCTCAGCCAAGTTCCAGGGAGAACCAGAGTTCAAGAGTTAGCAGCAGAGGTTATCAATCAACTTAAAGTTTGGTAAGTGAAGCCCAGACATGCTGCACAGTTGTTTTCTTTGTAGAGCACTTAGTACAAGACCAGAACTACGAGTTGCTAGTATTTCCCTGTTGAATCCATCCTGTTGCTATGGAAAATGCTGTCCTAGAAAATTCAGTTTGGAGCTGCACATAACTCCCATGAAAATCACACAGGAAGTGAGAAAAAGGCAAGAGTGCCATTTTTTTTTTTAGTTCACAGTAGTGGAATGCATTGCACAGGGTAAGACCACTCTGCATCTAGGATTTTTCATTTGTTTTATTTTTATGTTTATAATTTATTGTGACATGTACCAAAATCAAATTGTAATATAATACCATCCTATATTATATTTTTTGGATATAAAAGCTCTCACGACTATGCCTATTTCTATTCTAATTTTGTGGAGTATATCCTTTTTTGGTATGTTCATCTTTTAATTTTCTCTTTATTTTTTTTAGCAGCTTTGTTTGAAAAGTAGCTCACGTATCATAAAAGTCACCCATTTGAAAGAGCATAGTTCAGTGGTTTTTAGTTTGCTCGGCGTTGTACAACTAGCACCACTATTAACTTTTACAACATTTTCAACACCCCAGATGGAAGCCCCATACCCGTTATCCGTCGTTCCCCCTTCCCACTGTCCTCCACCCTCCCTCCTGTGTTGTTTGGGCTTTTTATTGCAGTATGTCCTCCTTCTAAGACACATCTCCAAGTTGCACATATTAGGGGAACAGTGTATCAATAAATATTTGTTGAATGAATTGATACCCACATAAGTCACTAGCCATGGGTAGCAACCGAGGAGTAATTGGAAGGGCCGTGGAATAGATGTCAAAAGACTAGATTCAAATCCTGACTGATGCTTACTTACTAGCAGTGTTGTTCTGGGAATGGAGTCACTTAGCGCTTCGAAGCCTCAGTTTTCATATCTATAAAATGTTGCTAGCCAGATCTGCTTCATCGGATGGTTGTGAGAATCACCTGAGAAAATACGACCACAACACTTGGCACGTACGTGGCCCACGCTAAGAAAGGAATTGCCATTTGTCCCTGGGTGACAGAGAAATGCCTGGGTTGGTGACCAGGCGAAATACCTGTGGCCACATTTCTCTAATGTCTAATCTGGCAGCAAGCATGTCCCCCGGTCACCAACCTCAGGGTTCAAAGTAGTGGCGTAGTTCTTTCCCATGGCTTAATCTTCCCAGTTTCGTTCCTCACAAAAGAGAATTCTGGAGTATAACTTACAACTGCTTATTCTCTCTTAACTTCCCAACTGCTGCCTCCCCTGTTTCCTGTCCAGCATGATAGCTGCTTCCTCTCCACGTGCTGATGTTGATTCTCATGTAGGGCTCACACTTTGTACAGAAGCAAGCACTGTCCATCAGCTGTAAAGAACTGGCCCCGCATCCCAACTTCAGCAGCCTTTATTGCTCCTTTCCTTCACCGTGGGTCAGAAACCCTCTCCAGGAAAAAAAGCTGCCTAATTTAGGCAACTGGCAGCCTCGGACTGCTTGCTGGGCCTTTCAGGGACAAGGGAACGTATTTAACGATCTCTCATAGCTACCACCTCCCCCTGCTTCCAGAGTTGCCTTAGCAGATTTGCTACCCACTCATCTTACAAATAGTAATGAAATAGTAGGAGCTATCATTTACAGGACACCAGGCATTGTAAATATATTATCTCTAATTCTTACAGTAAACTTGCAAGCTAGGTATTTTCCCTATTTTATGGAAGAGAAAAGAATCTTGGAGAAGTAAAGAAACCAGCCACAAGGTAATTTTAGGGAATAGGTTTTGGAAAGGCAGAGAAGATTGGGTAAATCTACCTGTACAGAATTTCTTACTTACTTACATTATATGGCTTTAGTCTGGTATATAGAAGCATAGGCTTCGATTCAAATCCCAGCTCAGCCGTTTACTAGCTATGTGACCTGGACATGCTTCCCAACCTCTTTGAATTTCAGCTCTCTCATATGTAAAGAGCACTTACCTCTTAAGAATTATTGTGAGGACCAAATGACTTCATACTTCTGAAAGTCTCAAAAATACTAGCTGTTGTCTTATTTAAATATTCTAATTGCTGTGATCAAAGTGTCTCACTTTCTAGACTTATCAGATACACTTGGCTCTTTAAATTATGTCACATCCCCAATTCAGAAGTTGTATGATGTATTTGGTATGTCTTTCCTTCAAGAGAAAATGACATTTTAAAGCAGGGTTGGCAAACTTTTTTGGTAAAGGGCCAGATCATAAATATTTTAGGCTTTTCAGGCCGTACGGTTTCTGTCACAGCCACTCAGCTCTGCTGCTCTAGCATGAAAACAGCCGCAGACAGTACTTGAGCAAATGGGCGTGCCTGTGTTCCAGTAAGACTTTATTTATGGAGCCTGGAATTTAAAGCTCAAATGATTTTTCAAGTATAACAAAACACTACGTCCCTTTGTTTTCAACCGTTTAATATAAAAAACTACACTTAGCTTGAGGGCCATATAAAAACAGGCAGTGGGCCATAGTTTGCCAACCCCTGTTTTAAATAAATAGTTCAGTGGATCTTTAAAGCTGATGAATCCAGCAGAGGCCTAATTAAGGAAAGGAATGTGGAGGAAGAAAATCAAGAGCCATCCTATCAACTAGCTAGCCCAGATCATAGCCATGTTAATCACTCCCTTGCCTAACATGATGCATGTAACCCTTGACACTTAACCTTTTTATCTATAAAAATGAAGTGGTGATAGCTGCCTGACGACCTATACCTACTTCCTCCTGGTGACGGGAGTTTAAATATTATTTATTGAATTTATGCCTTTGTGCTAGATAGTTGAATCATTTTTATTCTTACCCTCTTATTCCTACTCTACAGATGAAGAAATGGAGGCTCAGAGAGGCAAATTACCTGCTCACACAATACCAGTATCTAAACCCTGGTATCTGATTCCCATAAACCCTCCCAGCCCTCTCAATAGAATACAGACTCCTTAAGGACAGGGACCTCACTGGACTCATTCTGTGCTGTATCCCCAGTGCCTAGGCTAGTAACTGGTATATAAGGGGCAGTGCATAAATGTTTGTGGAATGAATGAATGAGTGAATGAATGAATGAATTTTTCCATTATGCCAGTAGTTCTTAATCTTTTCATAGGTCAGGGACACCTCTGAGAAACAATTTAAAGGTCTGGATCATCTCTCCAGATAAATCTCAAATTAAGACACCTTATGTTAAGTATTTGGCAAACTATTGAAAGAAGATGCTATTCACATACTCTGAACAGTATAACTCTTCTCATAAGCATGGAAACAGGATTTGGAGATGTCTTATTTCTTTCCTTTTCCTTAAATCATGATATTAAGGACACTAAACAAGACCTAAAATGTTTTCTTCTCTATAGGCACTCATAGCTCCCGGACATACTTCTTAAAACTCTTGATTCCCTTACAAGTCACTTTCTCAAAAAGTATTACTTAAAAATGACTTTTATTGGACCCAAGTGCTTCAACATGAAAAGTGAGAAGCCACAGCCTATTAAGACTAACATGCAATTTTTTGTCTTCAGAAACACAGTTGCGAGGGAAATACCCACTTTTCCACTGCCTAGAGGCCAACCAAATCTGAAGCTCGTATGTTACTTGGGATGGGCCTTCTGCTGCTTCTACTTCTTATTTACTTAGGACCTTACATTCCATGCCATGGTCTCCCATGAAGACGAGAGAGAGGGTTATTATGAGAGAGACATTAAATTCAGATGTTACTAATTTTTATTTTCCCCTCTAAAGCATCTGTTGTTTACATACCCTCATCCTTTACATCAGGACCTTGAGATCATGACTCACTTCAGGTGAACAGTAAGATTAAGGGTATTTCGTTTTCACAAAATGCTGTAAAAACAAAGTCTGTTGCTTATGGAGACTTAAAAAAACATTCAGGTACTGCATTCACTTGCTACTCCCTTTGCACTCTCTTTACTGCATCTCCCCCCCCCCCCCCCCCCCCCCGCCGCCAAAGAAGTTCCATTCTAAAACATGAGTATTCTCTCATGTTTCTGGGACAAGGCACTCCATTCGCACTTCGGCCATGCTGTGCCATTTAAGTTTTCCCATGGCACTTATTCCCAGGGCTGTTATTCAACCACACCAATTGTTAAAGGTACTGAAATGCTTCCATATGAGATGGGAAACAGCTGCTATCCTGAGCCTTCCAAATGCCCTTTACTATCCCCACCCTTCCCCCAGTTTCCCTGGTTCTCCACACAATCTAAAGGGTCAATACCACCTGCCCTTCCAGAACCCTGCTCCAAGCCTACGGCCAGCACCTCTTCTGATTGGTCCATGCCAGTTTAAATACCATTGTTGACGTATTCATATATGTATGTATGAATAACTAGGGACGTGGACCTTTCTGTTTCATTCATTACAGTATTCTCAATGTCTCCTTGAACAGCTCCTGACATGCACAGACTTTTAAATAATTGCTAAAAGAAAAAATATAGAGTGTGTTTATGCTTATGGTGTCAAAGAAGTAAGAGCTGAAGCAAGAGAACCACTTGATCAGTCAGGATTGGGGAACTACTTGATAAGTCATATGGGCAGGAAAGACATAGGAGTTAAGAGGATCCCTATATAATAACTTCTTTATGGACAGCCAAATAATCTTTGGTTAGCAGTCTTGCTTCACAACATTAACTCTTAATAATTTGCTTTTTCCAGGAAGGTTGAATATAAGCGAGGATTGGGTTTCAGGTCCCAAATTGCCTCATTAAGGACCAAATATGACCTGGAGGTAGAAACTAATCTTACACTAAGCCAACAAGGTGTGGAAGCCTGTGGGAAGGCTCTGAGGTGATGAGGTAATCTTGCTGAGGAGTTTTGTGCGGTCTTCTGTGATGGAAGAGACGGAGTCACCCACAGAACGAGCCTGAAGGCCTAAGTGGCCAGAGCTCTTCCTGTTTCCTGACAGCTGCCTTCCCCCCCCCACACACACAGTGGGCACTGGTGGATGCTTACTACCTACCCACTGAGCTAGGCTCAGGCAAAGCGCCACTACGCAAACCTGGGCACCGTTGTCAGAATGCCTCTCTTGTCAGGCTAGGGAGACAGACACATGCATTTCACATCACCTCAGCAGAGTCCGAAAAATTCCCTAACACTTCCTACCTTTCCTTAATAGCTTACTTGTGAATGCCCCTGAACTTCTGAAGCTATTCCAAGCCTATGCCATCTGTTACTTTTTATTTTTACTCTGTGAGGTATACTCTTCCATTTGTTCCAAATTTGTCTTTTTTCAGTGTTCAAGGGATACCTGCTAAACCCTAGCATTTTATAATTTGCTGATTATTTAGTACCACACTCCTCTCCTTAATGTCTCCTGTCTTTATGTAATCATTCCCAGATGAAAGTAGTTCTTCAATAGGCCCTACGTGCTTGGGGGGACTGCCAGGCACCCGGCTGCTAACTGTAAACTGCCTCTTGGGTCCATTACTCTTCCCCATCACACCAAAGAGGTTCTGTGTTTTCTTCCTCACGTCAGCAAAATAATTGAGGTGGAACAAGGTGCCTTCTCGTTTCAGCTCTCATGCTATAAACAAGTTCCCCGTTTCTGGTTCATTTGGTGCCATGTGTTTTGCATTTTTCTTTGTTGATTCCTCTGTTTAAAATGGCTCCCGGTGGGGGCGCCTAGGTGGCTCAGTCGTTAAGCGTCTGCCTTCGGCTCAGGTCATGATCTCAGGGTGCTGGGATCGAGCCCCGCATCGGGCTCCTTGCTCTGCGGGAAGCCTGCTTCTCCCTCTCCCAATCCCCCTGCTTGTGTTCCCTCTCTCGCTGTCTCTCTCTCTGTCAAATAAATAAATAAATCTTTAAAAAAATAAAATCAAATGGCTCCCGGTATAGCGCTAAAGTGCTGTCTAGTATTCCCAAAAGCAAGAAGGCTGCGATGTTCCTTATGGAAGAAATAAATGGGCTAGATAAGCTTCATTCAGGCATGAGTTGTACAGTGCTGTTGGCCATGAGTGCAGGGTTAGTGAGTCAACCATATAAAGGACCTTCACACAGGAACGTATGGAAAACAAAGTTGTGGATTAATCGATTGGCTGATGAAAATGTTTTGACCCAGAGGTGCAAAGAACCTCATACTGTATTTCTCCCTGGAACAGTGTTTCAGGATTCATTGACTTAGTGTTCCCAGCAACTTTACAGAACGTAACTACCACAAATAGTAAGAATAAGAATCAATTGCAGTCGTAACTGAACCCACACTACTGCGTTTGTCCTACTAAAGAGTTAATAGGCACAAGTTCACTGCTTCCTCAGAAAACACCTGTTAAGCAGCTACCACGCCCTGGGCTGTGGGAATACAGTCTTGCACAAGAGGGTCATAGTCCTTAACTTCATGCATCCTATAGCCTGGTAGAGACATTAAATTTTAAAATGTTCTTACAAACATGGAGGACAAGTGTGAATCTGATGTTAATGATCAATTCTATCACAACAGGGGATGGAGAAAATCCTTAGCCAGGGGGGACTAGGCAAATGTCTGTTCTATCAGTTCTTGCCCACCTATTCTCTCAGTCCTCCTATCTGCACGAAAATGTAATCAGCTACCTGAAAGTTCCTCTTCACTCAGTCCAGGATCCTGGGAGAATCTTGATAGGGAACAAATTAATAGGTCTTTCCCCACTCATAAGAGAGGTCTGGAAAGAGCCTAGTCCAAGTGCTGCAAAAAGGTTATGTTCAGGATACTAACTGATCACAGCTGCAGCTGCTTACATCACTGTAATGAGAATGACCATGGCGCCCTCCTGGGCTGAGCAGGGAAAAGTGCTGCAATCTCATAGTCACAGCTGGTGTGCTTTGTATTTGCCTAACTCACCACGGCTTGCCCTATATGTGATATTTAAATGTCTGGAAGCACATAGAATCGTTGATCCACTTACAGCATGGTGATAAATATATAAACTTTCTACTTAATCAGGGCTAGACTGAGATTCTAAACTCTCTTGCTGTGCACTTCATTATTTTCCATATGATTCTCAGAATCTTCCTTGTCCAAAATGTCCTGTGTCTCACTCTGCAATCTTTAAATACTAACATCTGCCCTTTGGGTTTGTTTTGGGACCACATGCCCATCCTCAGAAAGGGAGCCACCAACTCCCCACCTAAATTTGTGATGACTCCGTCCCTCTTCCCTCTTCCAGCAGAATGTCATCAAGAGGCTAATACATGATTTAGGAGAGCCTCATTCTCATCTGGATCCTTTCTCATCATGCCTATTTGTATCATCCATCCTCTTGTGTGATCCAGGATGGTGTGGAACACCTCCAGTCTGCTAGAGACTGATGACCTTCTGTTACAGCAACTAATCTCAGAGGTTATTTGTCACTGTGAGCAGTTGCTCTAAGTTCAAGCTTTAAAATGTAGAATCTTCAAAAAAAAAAAAAAAAAGAATCTTCAGCAGCTGTATTTCTATTGCTGCAGCCATTTCTCTACCTGTGTGCTACTTGGGAAATCCCTGTAGTAATCAGATTGACCAATGTTAGCCAGTTGTGCAAATAAGGCTTTGGATGCCGCCTGCTACATAATACTTTCTTTGCATTTCTGCAATAACAAGAGTTTTATTAACCCCTAGGTGGGTTTTGTTGAAAGACAAAAACTTCCTATCTAGACTGTACACTCGAGGAGGGCACAGTATCTGTTTTGAGCACAGCAGTATTCACAGTCCTGAGCACAATACCTGCACCAAATATGTTTTTTTTTTTCACTGACTAATGAGGCTAAGTGCCATCTTGGATTCTCACATTAATTGGAAGCCCTGCCTTTTATAGTTACTTCTGGACATGACATTATAAACATGTACTCCTTAACTACACTACATTTTTAAAAATAGCCTATTTACTGCTGGGGTATGGGCACTATTTAACTGTTTCACACCCATTTTTATGCTTCTTGTTCGTTTTTGTTATTTTTTACTTTCTACTATAATATTATCATGAAAAGCAATTAGGCCTGTATCTACAGAGACAAGCATTACAACTGGAGAAGGTGAGAAGAAGAGGAGGCAGGAAAATCAGTCTTGCCTTGTTTACATATCTAAATAGCTAAATGACTTTTGGTATCAAATGAGTTATTTGCAAAGAAGATATAAAAGATGTATGTATTTTTATCAAAAATGCATTCTTTGGCAAATGAGTGAAGTGAAGTTCTGCTTCACGGTCCTTCGAGTTATTTAAAATCATCAGTAAAATCATCAGTCTGTCCCAGTTTAGAAAGAAAGGCCTAATAGTGTGCTATGATTTAAGGATTGAAGATTCTTTTTCTTCTTGTTTTCCTTGTTTTACCACTTAACTTCATAGAGTGTTGCAGAAAGAACATAGGCTCTAGGATTAGAAAACCTGGGTTTGAACCTCAGCTTCTCAGTTTTCTTACCCATCTGGGCTTTATCTCTGGGCCTTATGCTTGTCTTCTTTTTTTTTTTTTTTAAAGATTTTATTTGAGAGAGAGAGCGGACACACGCACGTGCACGACAGTGGGGACAGGGGCAAAGGGAGAGGGAGAGAATCTCAAGCCAACTCCACACTGAACGCAAGCCCGGTGCGGGGCTCCATCTCACGACCCTGAGATCATGACCTGAGCCAAAACCAAGAGTCGGAGGCTTGACCACCTGAGCCACTGAGGCCCCCCTGGGCCTTATGCTTGTCTTATACTGCACCACCTCAAAATGTAGCTGAAGGTAAATTATGAACTAGAAAGCGCAATATCCGACTAGAAATAATAAATATCATTGTCACATCCTTTACATACCAAGATTAACCCCCTGACTCTGGATGTTGTAAGAATTTGCCAGAATTACATCTTTGAAGAAAGGCTTTTGCTCACCCAAATGTAATATAATAAATGCAAGGACTTTGCCAAGGCAAATTCCTGAAAAGAACACAGTGCAACAGAAGCAGTTCACAGAGTCCTGTGCGTTTTGGTCAATGATTACATCCTGTTGCAGTGTTAGCAAGGGTTGGCAACCAACCTGGAGATAGAGAAAAGAAGTGACGAAAATGTCAAGATTCCTCAAGCAGATATGTCACGGAATGAATTAGAGTAGACTAGGACATTGTGTTCGGCGATAAAGGCCAGGAGGTTTGGCCATCTCTATACCAAATTATTACAGTCTTATTTGAAGAATCTCACTTTGCTGTGAAGTGTTGAAAACAAACTACATTCCAGCAGAGTGTTGTTAGTCCTGACCTTTATTCTGGATGACCTATGGACAGAAACAGCATACTGTACTTTCTTGTCTTATAGTTTTTAACACTTTTTGTGTTTTTCAAATAAACATTTAGGACACGTGGTATGACAGTTGCAAGTGAGCATTTGAGGAGACGAATTTTATTTGAATTTGCAGCTATTCCAGAGAGATTACATGGTAATCGTGTCCTTGTTTGGTTATGGTTCTTATAAGGTATGAACTTGCCGAGATTTTCCAGAGAGAATCAGATCTGAGAGTATGTTGAGCTGAACTGAATTTTGCAACATGTCTAAGAACACTAAGGGTGCTCCTGAGTTGGATTTTTAACTCTCTTCACATCAGGTGTGAGGAAGGCACACAGGAATAGAAAATGCACGTTCTCCATGTTTTACACGGGAAATTTGGTAACAGAAATCTCCTGAGTTCAGCCCACTACATGGTTCCCAAAGCACTTTTTCCCACTGGTGAGCCAAGAGGCTCTGCCCTCTTTTCTCAACCTCTTACCGGAGAAACTGATACTCTTGACCCAATTATCAGGCTTTGACCTTTGGCACATTTGTCCTCTTGTCCTTACACATAAGCACACTTGAAAAATGGGCTAGGTAAGAAAGAAAAGAAAAATTGGTATCAATGAACCAGCCAAAGGAAAATGAGGAAAGGAACTACCAAGAAATTGAAGGAGGCAGATGGAAATGGATAACGTGGTAGGTGGGGGGAAGAGTTTTCCTGAAGAACATGCTGTATCAGAGGATAACTATGACCACCTCAAAGAAAGAATTCTGATAGAACTTCTTTCTTCCCAGGGGTCTCTGATCGTAGGACACACAGCAGTGAGTCTGGGAGAAGAAGTGGAGGTATAAGGTCACATTTCTGAGCGTCCTAAGTTCTGCTTCACGGTCCTTCGAGTTATTTAAAATCATCAGTAAGCAGTGATAACCTCAGAGAGAGGCTGAAATAGTGAGGTGAGGTAAATAAGAGTAGCAGGTGTTTATAATCTCTTACCACATGCCAGGCATTATTCTAAATAGGTGAACACATTTGGTTTTCCCAACAATCCTGTGAGGCTAGAACTCCTGTTATCCCCATTCTGCTGATTAGGAAATGGAAGCACAAAGAATTAAGGCCCACAGTTACATTAGTGGCAGGGCCAGGATTTGAACCTGGTATTAAAGTATCTAGGCCGGGCACCTGGGTGGCTCAGTTGGTTGGGCGACTGCCCTCAGCTCAGGTCATGATCCTGGAGTCCCGGGATCGAGTCCCGCATCGGGCTCCTTGCTCAGCGGGGAGTCTGCTTCTTCCTCTCCCGCTCCCCCCTCTCGTGTTCACTCTCTCTCTCTCTCAAATAAATAAATAAAATCTTTAAAAATAAATAAATAAAGTATCTAGGCCTCCAATTTGCCAACTAATAGTGATAGGCAGTTACTTTCCTAAAGATACCCTGTGAATTGGTGGTGGGATCGATGGGAATGCAAACTCTCAGGCTCCCCAAACAGCTTGATGGACCCCATAACTGGTACCAGTGTTGAAGGCTGTTGAACACTGTTGAAGTGTTTAATGTTGAGCTTTATATGAAGTAACCAAGAATGTGCTAGCAATTAAATGAGCATGTATACTTGATCTTAGAACTGAGTATTTTGTCCTATCATTTAGCATTTGCCCTTCCTCTGACAAGACTTGCCTTGGCAACCACCCAGATAACTGCATGTCCCAATATGAAATAAGAAATAGGCCCTCTCCTGTGGTTACTTGGAACAGAATGTTCTTGATATGGAGAGACTAGTTTCCAGAGTTAAATGTATAGTTACAGTTAGAGAAATATATATATTTGGTACAATAGTACTTTGAAAGGGTTATTTATTTATTCTCTTTGGACAATTTCTAGATGTGCTTTGACCAAATTAATCAGATGATTTTCTCTTTATCTCAGCCCCATTCACTCTATTAGAGAATGGAACCTCAGTTACACAATTTCATGTTGGATGTGGGACTCAAGCTGAGCTGCAAAACATACGTGTTTCCATCATCTTTAGTTTTTTCAGCATTAGTTTCCATGCTGCATGTAAAGAAACAAGTTTTTCATTCAGACCTCAAGATTCCAACAATAAGGCCCCAGGCCATTTTTACAACCTCGTCTTTTCCCCACTACTTTCCTTTACCTCCAAAGAAATCAGGCTAGGGGCACTTGGGTGGCTCAGATGGTTAAGCATCTGCCTTCGGCTCAGGTCATGATCCCAATGGGGTCTTGGGATCGAGTCCCACATCAGGCTCCTGGCTTAGCAAGGAGCCTGCTTCTCCCTCTCCCTCTGCCTCTCTCCCTGCTCATGCTTTCTCTCTCTCTGTCTCTGTATCTCTGTGTCTCAGATGAATAAATAAAATCTTAAAAAAAAAAATCAGGCTAAATCTTACCAGAGTTTCTCCATTTCTGAATTTATACTGTTCCTCTGAGTATCCTTTAAGCCCTGTCATAAACCCTATCCTCCAGGAAACCCCCAATCTTCTGAACCTCATTGATCTCCCCCACACTGAACTTGATCCCTATTTTAAGGCCCTTACTGTTAACACCCCTTGTAGAAGAGTCAGTTGTGTTCTTGTCCCATGCCCCATGTTCTTCAGGCAGAGGACTGTGTGGTTTCCCTGCACTCCCTGTGCAACACCTTTCTTAAACAGCCTAGCTCTGTGCCTTGCCAGATATGTACGTTGTGAGGTCATACGTCATAGCTATCAAATGTTAATCAGGGAAGGAACCTTAGAGATTAACTAGTGTCACCTTTTCATTTTATAGATGAGAAAAAGAGATGTGCAGAGGCCAACCACCTAAGGTCATTGGTGAGATGGTGGCAGAGCCAGGTCACCTGACTCCCTGCAAATTACCACCTTCTAAAATGTGGAGAGGGGCACATGATGTCAAGAGAGAATATTTTGGGAGTTGTGAAATGATATGGATTGTTTATATCTTGATGGGAATAATAGAGCAGAGGGGGGGAAATTGAGGACACAATGATTGCAGGAGGGAAATTGTTGAGTATGTGAGAGGGGATGGGATCCAGTCCAGGACTCAAAAAATAGCCTGGACAGGGTACCCATCAGGACCGTAGGGGACAGTGAGTATGTGGGTATAGTGAGGTATATTGGTAGATATCAAGAGAATGTGGAAATTTTTTCCTGAACTTTCCTGTTTTTTCTTTTGAATAAGAGGGTTTTCAGCTGAAAATGAAGAGGAAGGAAAAGGAATTGGAGGTTTGAAGTGAGAAGAGATAAAAGTCATCTAGGGGAGTGGGAAAAAGGAGTCGATGACAGAAATATAGCATGCGATGGACAGCACTTACCACTTGAGTTTTGTGATCAAGCAGTGTTTTCCAGTGGCGATCCTACTGGCCTTTTGAGCACGCATGTTGCTGGGCATTTAGCATCCCTGGCCCTTAGTCATATCCCTTGATGATTGTGATGATCAAAAATGCTCCCTCTTGCATTTCCAAATACCTGCTAGGGGCTCTGAACCATTCCTCATTGAGAAGAACTGGGACAATAGTCACAAGGGAGCATGCTTTTCTTTAGTCGCATTCAGCTCCTCAGATGCTGGCAGGAAGTAGGCAGAGATCTGAATTTAGGAGTTTTCGGGTGTGACAGTTAAGAACACGGGCAGGAGAGAGGGGCAGAGGGATTGAGGGTATGTGTAATGGAGTGATTATCACAGTCAGGTTTTCTGAACAACAAAATACCTGCCACTGGCTCAAAGCAACTCAGGAACACCACAATGGTGGAGGATTTCTGGCTACCATTCAGGGACATTTGGACATGTGCCCAATTTCTGGCTATTATGAACATGCTTATACATATTTTTGGGTGGACGTACACATTCATTTCTCTTGGGAATAGAGCCAGGGTGGACTTGATGGGTCACAGGGAATACGATGTTCATTATCACTATTAAAAACTGCTGCTCATTTGTTTAATATATTTGCATATATACCTACCTATGACTCAGCCATTCCATTCCAAGTATTTATCCAAGAGAAAATAAGGCATATATCCACACAAAGATTTGTACACTAATATTCGTAGAAACTTTATTTGTAATAGCAAAGAACTGTAAATGACACAAATGCTCATCAACAGGTGAATAAAACAATAATTGGGGATACAGCCGTACACTTGAATACTACTCAGCAATAAAAAACAAACTATTAATAGATACATCAACATGGATGAATTTTAAAATAATTATTTGAGTAAAAGAAGCTAGATACAAAATACCTACTGTATGATTCCGTGAATATAGAAGACAAACCAATCCATAGTGATGGAAAGCAGATCCGTGGTTGCCTGAGGATGAGGTGGTGGAGAATAGAGAGCAGGGATGGATTCCAAAAGGCTTGAGGAAACTTCTGGGGGTGGTGGATGTGTTTATGTTCTTGACTGTGGTAATTGCTTCATGGGTGCATACATAAGTCAAACTCATCAAATTATACACATTAAAAATACGCAATTTTATACATGAATCATACCTCAAAGCTAAAAAATTAAAAACCTATTGAACAGTTTTCCAAAGTGGTTGAACCAATTTATACTCCATCAGCAATGTATGAGAATTCTAGCTGTCTACCACTTTTGGTCTTAATCAGTTGTTTTAATTTTGGTGGTGGTGTGGTGGTATCACATTATGGTTTCCACTTGCAATTTCCTGATCGAATGACATTGAGCACCTTTTCAAAATGCGTATTGGTCATTTGAATATCCTCTTTTGTTAAATGCCAACTTCAGGTGTTTTCCCATTTTTCTGTTGGACTCTTAGTCTTCTTATTTTGATTTGTAGGTCTGTATATATTCTGGATGAGGCCCTTGTCATGCTGGGGGAGAGAGGGCGTTATCTTCCAGTCTGTCACATGCCTTTTCATTCTCTGAATGTTGTCTTTTGATGAATAGTTCTTAGTTTTAATGAAATCCAATTTTTTAAGTTTTTCTCTTGTTTAGTGGTTTTTATATCTTGTTTTAAAAATGTTTGCCTACCTAAAGTTATGGAGATATCTCCTGTTATTTTTTTTTTTCCCTAGGACCTTATTGCTTTAACGATCATATATAGGCCTACATGTTTAAAAAAAATTTTTTTTTGGTATACTGTGAAATAGAGTGTGAAATAAAGGATCAATGAACTTTTTATTTCAGTGGATTTCAGTTGTCCCCACACTATTTATTGAAAAGACCATCCTTTCCTACGCTGAATTGCAGTGGTATCTTTGTTACAAATCAGGTAGCCATATGAAAACCATTTCTTATACCTTGTTTAGTTTTATTCTGCTGCGTTTACAGGCTTTGTATCAAGACTATGCTAATCTCATAAAATAAGACAGAGGGTCCCTTTTCTATGCTCTGAAAAATATGTACCTTGGAAATACTTGTTAAATCTGTAAAGCCATCTGTATCATTCAGTGTCCAATCAAGAAAACAGAAACCACCCACAGTATTTAAAAAGAGGGAAATCAAGATAGAATGAACCCAAAAGCCAACCAAGTGAAATTAGCAATAATAGAAACAACTGTCACCCCTAACCTGGAGGGAACAAAGGTAGAAAGAGGTGTTAACTGGAGTCCGAAGGCTAAAATCACGAGTTGGAAGCTGGAATCCTGTTGGTGTAACTAGCAGGAGCTTGAGTCCCAGAAAAGAGGTAACCCAGTGGAAGAGACTCCATGAGGGGCAGAGTGGGATAGGACAGACCTTGGCTTCTCTCCACCCCCTGCCTCCACCCTCCTGTGTGCCTTCCAGTAATCTCTCACTACCTGCCTCTACCAGAATCCAGATGACCAGGAGCCTGGGAAGCAGAGCCTGAAGGGGACAGCCTGCCAAAGATAATACCTAGCAGGGCGAGGGCATGTAGTGGATTGGAGAGCAGAAGACCCTGGACTGGCATTCCACCTGAGCCCAGAAACCTTTCTTAAATCAATTTTTCTTCTAATTCTTCTAATTTTGGTCATCTAACATTTTCTAAGAAAATCATCTATTTCAAAAAGGTTTTCAAATTATTAGCATAAAATATTACATTTTGCCATTTAAAATCTCTTCTATATTTATAGTTAATTCCCCTTTCTTACTCCTAATTTTGTATATTCCTGAGGTTAAATATCTTTCTGCAGTTGTGACTATTGCCTACGGACATGCAATATCATCTCTCTAACATGTTCCTCTGATCCCAGTATGTCCTTTAACTGATAAATAGGTCTAGAAGGCAATCCAGTGCAGGATCACTTGGGCATGAATCTTTTCGGGCAGTGATGTGTACATCCTTCAAGGGGCACACAAAGAGAAATGTCCTTTTTGGTGTAAACAGCTGTTGACCCACTGACCCAATAGGGCTTGCAAATGCTGATAAACTAATTATGTCATTCTTCCTTTGTTTACCAGCTGGAAGATCTCTGTTAAGAGAAACTATCCCTTATCACTATTTGGTCACTCTTGGCGATCTTTTGACTTTCATTTAATCCTTTCACAACCTTTCAAATTTCTGACTTTTTTTTTTTTTAAGATTTATTTATTATATTTTGAGGGAGAGAGAATTTCAAGCAGACTCTGCACTGAGCGCAGAGCCTGACACAGGGCTCGGTCTCAACCCTGAGATCATGACCTGAGCCAAAACCAAGACTCAGATGCTTAACTGACTGAGCCACCCAGGGGCCCCCAGATTTCTGACTTCTTTAACTAGAATAGTGATTTTAAAGTACAGACCTCAGAATTTTCACCCCTATAACTTTTCATTTATCTTTTTTGTATATAATACAAAATTCAAAAGTTCAAGAGGGTATAGAATAAAAAGCCTTCCTCACCTGCTCATTCCTCCCTTGAACTCATTCAGTTCCCTCCCCAGAGGCAGCCATCATTACAAGTTTCTTATGATAGCTTCCAGAGACATCAAAACTATACATATATTCAAGTGATAAAACAAATGCAGTAAAATGTTCATAATAAGTGAATCTGTGTAAAGGGTACATAGATGTTCTTTATACCACTTTTTTTTTTACAAGTTTTTGGTTTTTTTACAAGTTTTAAAGTATTTCTAAGTGGGCGCCTGGGTGGCTCAGTTGGTTAAGCGACTGCCTTCAGCTCAGGTCATGATCCTGGAGTCCCGGGATCGAGTCCCCCATCAGGCTCCCTGCTCGGCGAGGAGTCTGCTTCCCCCTCTCATGCTCTCTCTCTATCACTATCTCTCTCAATAAATAAACAAAAAATCTTAAAAAAAAAAAAAGTATTTCTAAGTAAAAAGGAATATGTATACTATATAACATATATATATTCTTTTTGTCTTCCCCCTCTCTTTTTTTATTAAACAATATATCTTGAAGGTCTGTCCATGTCAGTATATATACAGATGCCTCATGCTTTTTAAAAAGACTGCTATTGTTGCATTGTATGGAAATATAGTGTACCATAATTTATTTAAATAACAGTATATAGAGGGACATTTAGGTTGTTTTAAGTCCACTGATACTGCCCAGTTGCCGCAGTGAATGCCCTTTTAGGTTGTTGCTCATGTGTGTAAGCATTCTTGTATAAATACCTAGGAGTGGAACTGCCACAGCAGAGTATGTGAGCTTCTAATTTTAACAGTAATCGCCAAACTGTCCTCCCTAGGTGATATTCCAGCATACACTCCCACTACTTTTTTGAGAGTGCTGGCCTTCTCATACTCAGCAACACAGTGTAATACGGAACTCGATTTCTTTTTTTTTTTTTTAAGATTTTATTTATTTGAGAGAGAGGGGAGGGGTAGGGGGAGAGGGAGAAGCGGAGCAGGGAGCCCCACTCAGGGCTGGATCCCAGGACCCTGAGATCATGACCCAAGCCAAAGGCAGATGCTTAACTGACTGAGCCACCCAGGCACTCCTGGAACTCTATTTCTAATCTGATAGTTGATAAAATTGAATTTCTTTGTAGCTTCAACTTGCACTGGCTCTTCTTGTTTAAAAGTCGCCTATATTTCTTTTCTGTGAACTATCTGCTTATATCCTTCACCCTCTCTGTTGGGTTACTGGCTTTTTTTTAGTTGATTTGTAGGAGGTCTTTATATGTTAAGAAAGTTGGCCTCTTGTCTGTGATATCATAACATTTCTGAGCTGGAAATAATAACCTTACAATAATCGAGTTCAGCACTATCATGTTACAAATTTAAAAGCTGACTTAAGGGTGTTAAATGACTTGTGAATCTGGAGCCCAGATTTTTGCCTCCTGGTTTAGTCATTTTTACACTATGTCATGCCAACCCTAAGACAGAAAAAACCAAAACCCACCCTTTCAAAATGTAAAAGCACTGTGATCTCAGGACTTTGCCCCACTCCTTGGCCCCGTTATTCCTCACTAACCCATTTAGGGAAATATATCTTCCCAACTTAGGATACATAGCAAATTTGCACTTTGGGATTCACCAGACTTGCCTTCATCAAAGGTCTCAATTGCCCTAGGCAAAATGACTTCTTGACTTTTCCTACCAATTCTCATTCTTGAGCCAGTTATTTCAACTTGCATTTATTTAGCTTCCGTTAAATGAAGATCCCTGTGTCAGGCAAGCCAGAAGGATAAAAAGGAAATAGAAGATTCAGTCCCTGCCTCGGTGAACCGTCCATTTGAGGATACATAGCAAATAACTGAATTTATTTAAAAATGAGGTCATAACTGCTTGCCAATGCTCAAGGCATACAAATCAAGTGGTGATTAAATGGGTTTGTATCAACAGAAAAGGACTCCTGTAAGTTTTTAATTCGGATCAACAAAGAAGTCATGTATACAGATTACAACAATACCGACTAACACATGTATCACTCTCTAGTTCTCAGAGACCATCACAGACATCATCTCTTTTCATCTAAATGGTGGTACATTTTTCTCATTTCATACATGAATAAACTGTAGGAATAACAGAGAAACCAAAAGCCTTGTTCAGACAGCCCGGAAGGGCCCAGGGCTTCTGTCTCCAGGACCTACGATCTATGCACTGCACCACACTGCTCCAGTTTGGCAGAGGAAGGCAAAGAAGTGGGGAGGGGATTGAGTCACAGATTTGACTTCCTTTAAGAGGCCCTGTGGTGTAGTGAGAAAACTGTAATTTTGGAGTCAGACGAGATTTGAATCTGTCTTGCTATTTACAAGTTGTGACCTTGGCAAGCTACTCCTCCAAACCTCCATTTTATCAGCTGTGGAATGGAGTTAATATCTACTCTTTAAGGTTGCTGGCATATCAGACATACTATCTGATAAATGGTAGCTATTTCAACGAGGAGTGGGCTAGAGCAAAACTGTGGGTCGGTTTCCCCCTGAATGTGTTGTTGATCGACTTGATTGCAGCAAAGAGGGTGGGAAGCAAAAGACACAAAAAACAAAAGGGCATTGAGGAAGAGGGAAAAGCACTGCAGTCCTCCATCAGACTCTTCTCTGGGGTCTTGTCCCAGCAGGGAGACTTTTGTAAATGTAAGGACGAATTAACTGAGAAGAGTTGATATGGCGCTCTCCGGACGCAGTCCTACTTGGCATCACGCACAAGACAATGTGCGTAGAAGTGCAGTGCAGAGTGTTAAAGTGAGCTCTGGACTCAGTGGTGGAAGAGGAGCTTGCCTCAGCCTTTGCCACTTTCTAGCTCTGTGTTCTTAAATGAATCCATTAACTTTCTTGCTTCGGGGACACCTGTGAAGCGGGGCTAGTCATCCCTCTGTCACAGGATTTCCAAGGATCGAACTAGAAATTCAGTTCACACCTACACAATACCTACTGTGATGGTTTATTTTATATGTCAGCTTGGAGGGTGTCTTAGATGAGATTATATTTAAATTGGTGAATTTTGAGTAAGCAGAATACCCTCCATAATGTGGGTGGCTCTCATTCAGTCAGTTGAAGGCCTGCATAGAACAAAAAGTTTGGCCTCCCCCAGCAAGAGGGAATCGTCCAGCAGACTGCCTTCAGATCTTATCTACATCATTGGTTCTCCAGGGTCACTAGCCTGGTGGCCCACACTGCAGATTTGGAGGCCCAATCTCCATAATCATGTGAGCTAATCTCATAATAGGTCTCTCTCTATCTCTGTCTCTCTCTCTCTCTCCCTTTCCCATTGGTCTGTTTCTCTGGAGAACCCTGACTAATACAACTACTGTGGGTCAGGCATTGTTCAATAGGATACGCTA